AAATTTAAGGTTTCAAGACAGCAAAGACCTAAAAGAATGTAATGTTTACCAATTATGAGTTTGTATGAATTTTAAATCTGATGATGGCGCTGTTGCCTCGCCGAAACGTTACAAAATAAACGATATACAAATTTTTGTTTCTCACTTTGACTGAAACCCAGGAAGAAAAAGAATATAATAACAATTACACGCAGTCAGGAAAATAAATCAACATTTTTTAATAAATTCAAATATTTTTATTCATGTTCGTCCTTTGAATATTCGACAAAAGTATACTTATGTCTGATGATGAAGCTGTTACGTTTTAGTTAGCTGGTTTAGCTGACGACTAAAAATGTACTTATTGAAAGTGCAGTAATATACGATTTTCACTGGTGCTGAAAAAAATCTAGTCGGAAGAAAGCTTTTTGAAAAACCTCACTAACACCAAGAGAACTCAACCAATTGCTCATTTAATAAGAGAAAAAATGGACGAAAAATTGAAACGTTAAGCAAAAGTAATAAGGAAAGTAGATCTTATGGACACGCACACATGTATAAGCACACTTGCTAGTTAAAATTTCAAATTCCTTTCGAAACTCCCAGAATATATAATACCTTGAGATACTATCCGAAGAAGCTAACCGGTGTAGAACATATAACACGTCCGAAATTTCCGAATTTCTCAACACTTTTGCCTTATAGAAACGGTTGTAATATGTGCTTAATAACTCTATTTCGTATTCGGTTTATCTAACATAATTACCACAATTAACTTTGATTAGTATCATTGTATTTACAAAATGTGATATATAGGTTTTATAATGCTGTTTTCTTCTGTATGATAATTTAGAAAGTAGATCCTCGCATTGAATTTTTAAGAAATGCTAATATTGTAAAATTATTAAAATTTCAGCTCAAAGTTCCTAGCGAAGAAATGCGGCGCTCAGATCATGTGTTTTATCGCTTGGATTTTAATTAAAATAAAATAGTAACAGTTTTTCAACCCTAAACAATTTTAAATGCAACTCTTAAATAACATGTTCCGTAAAAAACCCTGGGACGTATTTTAAGTACGAAAAAAAATATAATAAAAGAACAAATTGGTACTCGGCATATAGATAAATATTTAGAGTGGGCCAAATGGGATAAATCAGGACCTACATATTCCATACATACCATAGGTCAAGATCAAATATATGGGAAAAGCGTCGTAACGGTAAACGAAAGTAAACTACCTACAGCTATTTGTTAGAATCAATTAAAATAGTGTTTGAAAAACATTATCTAAAACCGCACTTGTTTTATCAACCAATAACTATACAATGTGCCTGCAATTGTTTGGCTATCTGCAAATATCTCACCAGCCATTTTCTGTTTTCGTATAATTGTTTATGAATCAATGAACTGATATTACACACTTAATAGGCATTATTGAACATGAAACTGTTTACTCGCCGTTTTATACATGTTCATCACGCATCGTCTAATTGAGCTACATCTGGAAAGTTTAGGAAAAAAAGTGTGAATCGATGCCAACTGACATTATGGCTTATACAAATAAAGAAAAAATATATAATTATAAAATAAATATAGTATCTATTTGACTAGAAGTTCACGTTATTCTGTCAATTAATTATAACGGTTTTTGGGGTTTTAGATCGCCGTGAGAAAGAATTGTTCCTATCGTTCGCTCGAGCTCGAGTGAGTTGCATCTTCATCAATATTTTTTTTGCCCGGACCATTGATAAGCGCAAATCGTTTAGTCAAATGAAGATATAAAGCAAATATATTCGTTTCAAAGAGAAATGACTTCATTTCACGATTCTTTAAAATATTTCTTTGTTTGCTGCAGTTGGATGCATTAACTGACAAAGAGAAATCACAACTTTTTTGTCAAATACTTACTTTTTGAAATTTTGATTAAGAATCGACACTATTAAGGAGGGGAGAACGACTGACACTGACCATAGATATAAGCAGCGGGTTATATGTGGTCAAATAAGTGTGTCATTAATGCACATGCCTCCCTAGATATCGTACAAAACTAGCTATCAAACTGAGCAACTTTCACGGATATGTTTACTGACGAGTTTATCGGGATCTGCACCGATTTGTTTAATTTTTCGCACTATTAATTAACGCTTTTAGTTATACCATTAACAAAATCGATTTTGTCCGCAGTCTGTACAAAAAATATCCCCCATAATTAGAGAGCGTATAGAAAGTGCAGACACTTTTAGATAAAATAACGGTTGCGTACAATCAATCAATTTTCGCTTGAAATATTAGCAATAAATATGGGACACACTTGAATCTCGTTTATCTTCTATTAACTAACAAAACTCTAACAAAATTATGGCAAATCGCGACTTTAAATTTGGGTAAATTTGAACATTTGCGTCTCACACTCATCAGAAATAATACAAAATCAAAGTGTCTCTCCAATTTTTCGCCTAATTATAACGCCTATAAAGATTACTAAATGCATAAATAATATGCTTTTTTAAGTTTTAAGTTTTAACTCTAACTACTTACATGTTCTCGATTTCAACAATGCAAATGAATAGTAATTCAATCTGATATATTTATCAGCTCGCTAATAATTCAATTCTAAATTATCTTTAAAAAGTTTTATTGTGAGGGCACGCTTCAGAAAACTCATATAAACTGTTGAATTATGGGCTAATATGCGTCTGATTTTACATTGTTTAAAAATCGATATCCTCATAAGCTCCGGGTGTGAGTAAATAGTAGCTAGAATCAACAAAGGGAAGTTATATTGTTTATAGAGCGTAAAATAGGCCGCTTGCTAATCGTAGCCGAATCATTATGACGCTTAATCATCATTTTTATAAGATCAGAAAATAATTTCATCTTTTGAAACGCATGTCACTAATTTAAAAAATTCTAATTGCCTTGAATACACACACATACGTACACAGATTTAATGTTTTTTGGGAAACTTACTTCAAAATTCAAGTTGATTGATTTTTTGATGCATTGATTTGATTCGATTAAATTTTCAATATTTCAATGTTTTTGAGCGTCATTAGTTTTTAAACTCCAAATTTTTTTAATTAACGATAAAAATTAAAACTTGCCAAAAAACGAAACATTGAGTTCTACGAATTTATTTCTATGCTTTCTTAACTCTGATCGGTAAGCGGAGATAATTTTTAACTATTGCGTCGGTACAAATAATAGTCCGCGAAATAGCCATATATTATCGCATGTTTGTATGTTTCTCTAATAGACAATCAAAAAATTACATGAATGGATAAAATAATCAATAATGTGATTAGGTGGTAGTCATTGTGCGCTAAGCGCATTCGCCATGTTATTCAGATACCGATTAAACTATGTATAAAATATATCAACATTTGAACGATAATTGATTTGTAATTTTATTTAGATAGTGACACGTTTGCCGCCTTTGTTAATTTTAAAAAATTGAACAAAAATAAATATTTTGCATCAACCTAAAATTTAAAAAAAGCGCATTTGCCAAACAGTGCAGAGTTGGTTCCAAAACTTTAAAACTGGAAATCTTCAGTTATATAACTCAAAGTAAGGTTTCAGTTATGTACATTCAATTTGCTTTATAATTTCCGCTTTGGACGCTAAAGTAGTTAAAGGATGATTTAATGTTTGGTTTTTCAGTTTAGCCGCAGTGGAAAGCCCTTAGAAGCAATTTGAATCAAAATAGCTTTAAACTAATAGTAACTTTTGTTGAAAATGTGTTTTCGATCAATATTAAAAACGTCAAACGTATAAGTACGGATTATTTTTCTCTTGTTGCCCAATTTGCATTTATTTCAGACAATTTAAAGTTAACTGCACTACGACTGGAAGAGGAGCAAACTAATGACTTAAATCAGAAAGTTTCATGAACTAATTTACAATATAAATTATATAATTAGTGATGCGTGTTGATCGGTCAATAGATAGTAGCAGAAAAAACAACGACTATTTCATTGGCATTTCATTGGCACTAAATCATTGAGCCCGATGATGGATAAATAAAGCCGAAACGTTGGCCTAAAACAAATAGTCGTTTTTTTGCCACTATCTATTGACCGATCCACACCCATCATAATTAACTTCAGGGTCACCTAGAAACCTGAACATAAATTATATAACTTAAATAACTCGAAATATAAATTGCAGTAAAAGATCCAAAATGATCTCAGTCGAAACTGCTGATATTCTAATGAAATAGAAAAGTTTGAAAATTCTAAATAATACGTTTTATTGAAATAATCATTTTGTATATGTAATAGTTTGCATCTCGACTGATAGCGTCTCATTTTAGGCACGTTGTGGGCATTCCATTAATCAATAAGATTTATCTTTAGGGTGTTTACAACTTGTCGCAT